TCATGGTCACCCAGGAGAGCGACAGCAGCTTTCTGGTCAAGGTACATGCACACCTCCCCCATTACCAGCCTCACTCCCTGTCTCCCTCGTCTACCTCCTCCCTGGCTCTGCCAGCTTCCTGGGCCTACCTGTCCCCTCTCCTCTCAGCTGGGCTCATAGGCACGTGTTTGCCCCTCCCTGAGCCTTGGTTTCCCCATCTGTAAAATGGGAGGTGGTGAGATTTCAATGAAATGAGTACGTTTAGAATGTCACTTGAATCAGGTGAGCAGAGCCATTGTCATCCTCAGCCTCACCCAGACAATGGCAACGGAAGGTGGTTGTCAAGGCTGTGGTGCCACAGGCCTGGGTTCAGGTCTAGGCCAGCCATTCTGGCTCGGTGACCCGAGGGAAGCCACTGTGGTTTCTCTCCTTTCAAGTGGAGACAGTTCACACCCTATAGAGTTGGTGTGAGAATGGAAGAATGTATATATGTGATATAGGTGTGAAGCTAATTATGGCAATAACAAGCTGTGACTTTTTCTACCCTTTTTTTTTTTGCCAAATCTCTGGCTGATTTAGGTTCTTTGTGGTAGTATTTATCACCCCCATTTTCTGCTTGGTGGAGCATCCACTTCTCCTGGTGGCCACGCTCACACCCCCTCCAGCATGCTCCTCCCATTGCTGGGACACTGGGATCCCACATTCACTTGGAAAGGGGCAGGAGAGAGTGTCCAGAGGGGCTGGATTGGGGAAAACAGGAATTGAGGCCTTCAACTGGGTCAATAAGCCAGGGGTCCAGAGTTGAGCAGATGTGCCCTTGTGGGTGTGGGGAGCAGAGGTCTCGTCCCGGGAGATGGTCTTGAGGAGGGGCTGCTGCCCTGCTCAGAAAAGGGCCCAAGTTTGTATCCATTTCTCCAGCTCAGAAATCCTCACTCTTTCTCCTTCAGCTGACAGCTTCCCCAAGGGAACAGAGTTTAAACAGAATGAACCAAAACTTTTAAAAATAGTTCCCTTCCCCCACTGCAAAACCCACGCGTGTTTATTAGATAAAATTTGGAAGATATGGAAAACTACAAAGAAATTTCAAAGTATCACAGAGTCATACTATCCAGAAATAACCATGGTTGATACTCTGATGTGTGTCATTCCAGCTTTTATTAAAGCTTTGTTTCCAAAACCAAAAGCTGGTATCACAGCATACACGCGGTTTTTTGTTTGCTTCTGTTGTGAACTGTCTCCTGCATGTGTTAGTAAATAATTTTCCATGAGATTTTACAACTGCTTGGTATTCCATTATATGTGTCATCACTGATTTAGCTAGTTCCCTATTCCTGGGTGTTCCGGTTGTTTCTGGTTTTCACTGTTATAAATAAGGTAGTGATGAGTATTTATTTATTTATTTTTTTGCACATCTCTGAATACTTCCTCTGGAAAATTGTGCAAGTGGTGCAGCCGGGTCACAGGGTCAGGTGGTAGGTCCAGCCAGAAAGCCTTCTTGAGAGGTGTGCCCTCCACCAGCAGAGTGTGAGGGGGTCACATGGATTGAGGTTTGTGTGGGAATGTCAGTCTGGTCCACTGAAAGGCTAAAATTCTGTGCAGTTAGTCCCAACTGGTCCCCACAGGTGGCCGTCGAGCCCCAGTAACCATGAGCTGGAGTCTGTGTGCCCATGAAACCTGTGGGTATAGCGTGCACCCTGCGCCTGCTAAACTGCACTCCCAGCAGCCACCCTGCTCAGCAGCCACCCTGGCTTATAACCCTTCACACCCCTGGAGTTTCCAAGAATGGCATCTGTCCCAGAGGGCATTGGTTGCCAAGCACTGTGTATGAACAACAGAAATTGCTTGGGTCATGAGTAGGTAGGTGTAGGCTCAGCGAGCCTTTGAGTGGGCAAGCAGGCACCCATGGTCAGGTGCCAGCAGGGCAGGGAGGAGCCCTAGGTCAATGGTGCCAGGCCTGTGGGCCAGCTCTGGGCTGACGCAGCTGGTCCAGTGTCCATCGATCTAATTCCATCCTATCCCTCATCCTGTGCTGTGCTGCCTAGTGTCTCCATATGAGTGACTAGAGGACCAGAGTCTCTGACCCTGGGCTGCTTGCTCTGGGCAGGTACTGGTAGTGGTTGGGGCAGGTGGGTGGCCTGTGTCGTGGGACTTTGAGCCTCCCCTTTAAGTGGCCTGTGCCTTGCTGTCTACCACGCGTGGCAGAAGTGGCCAAGAGGTCTAGGGAGGACTTTATCTTGGCCACACTGTGTATCCTCTGGCCAGTCATTTCCTCATCTAATAACACAGACCACTAACGACAGTGGGGCCTGTGAGCCAGATGCTGAGGACCATGCTGGCTGAGCTGTGGGGATGAGGTCCTTTGGGGAAGGGGCTCTGTCAAAGGCCCTGGGGCCATCGGGCTGGGGTGTGGACCAGCTGGAGTGATGGAGGGAATGAGGTTTCCTGGGCTCCTCAGGGAAGCAGGTGCTGGGGCCCACAGGGATCATAGGTGGCATGACTGGGTGGTTCCTGGGGGAAGCAGTAAGTGAAGGTAACTTCCTCCCCCGCTCCTGCTGCAGGTCGGCTTCCTGAAGATCCTGCACAGGTATGAGATCACCTTCACTCTGCCTCCGGTGCACAGACTGAGCAAGGATGTCCACGAGGCACCTGTCCCCAGCCTGTACCTCAAGCTCCTCAGCGTCGTGCCCACCTCTGAAGGTGCGCCCCTCCTCCAGCAGGGGCTGGATGTGAGTGGGAGTGAAAACGTGGGGTGCTCCCTTCCCCCCTTCTAGGGTGGAGGGGTAACTCAGCAAGTCAGGGACATGGTACCTCTTTATGGCAACTTGGCAGGTCCCATGCCCCAGGCCTCACTCCCTGTCCCTGGACAGAAATCCATGAGCTCACACTGTCAGCCCGCATCTGCCCACCTCATAATAGTTTCCTCAGTGGGGAGGTAACTGAGACGGGAGCCGCTGAGGAACTGGCTTTACGCTTGCAGCCCTCCCTCCCGCCTGCCCCTCAAGGAAAACCTGCTGGAGCCACAGGCACTTTGTGGCTAACTCCTAATACTCACCCTTTCCAGCAGGCCATGGGTTTCAGGCTGCTTCTCCCTCCAGGCTGGCTTCAGGCCTGCTCTCCGGTCCCTACCCTGGCAGGCACCAGGGTGTCAGTTTCTCCAAGCTACAGCTTCAGTTTCATGTCTCCCCCTGTGACCTTGCCCTACGGTGGATTGAGTGAGACCCCTCCAGCCTTTGCCTCTGGCCACCTGACCCACTCAGAGCCTGCCCTGCCCCCTTTCCTGCCCCATCTCCCCCCTCTCCCTGCCTTCCTTTCTGGGGAATCAGCGGCCCCTTGTTTTGGAAGCCTGAATTTGACCCAGCTTCACCCTTGGAGCTATACTGGGGTGGCCTGGAGGCCAGAGGCACCTGGAGCTCATTGAAGAATGGGAAGTCTCTGAGGCCTGCGTACCCTACCTTGGGGGCCATGGTTCTCTGGGCTCCAGAGGGGCCACCCCTGCTCATTTCTGGGAGAGGCTCAGAATGTCTAGGTGCTGGGTGGGGGCCAGTGAGTGCTGGGGGTGGGATCGTAGGCTGAGGGAGATGCTGATCACCTGCCCCTGTCCCTGGGCAGGTTACAGCGTCAAGTGTGAGTACTCAGCACACAAGGAGGGCGTGCTCAAGGAGGAGATGCTGCTAGCCTGTGAAGGGGGCGCAGGCACCTGCGTGCGCGTGGTGGTGCAGGCACGCGTCATGGGTGAGAGTGCAAGACACGCGTATGGCTGGAGGAGGGAGGCGCAAGCCTGGCCGCAAGGGTTTCTGTCCTCCGGGAGCCCGATCTGAAAAAGGGATGGGGTCCCTCTTCCAGCCGATCACTGAGGGAAGGGGGAGGGGTCCTCTTGTAGTGGGTCGCGTGGGTGGGGCGAGGAACACAGTGTGGCACATCCACTCGCACCCCTGCCTTGCAGACCGGCACCACGGCACACCCATGCTGCTGGACGGTGTCAAGTGCGTGGGCGCCGAGCTGGAATACGACTCTGAGCACAGCGACTGGCACGGCTTCGACTGAGGCGGGCCACCTGTCCGCCTCAGGGCCCCTCAGCCTTAAACCCCGCCTCGTCTCCCCAACATGCTGCGTGATGGTGTGGCTTCCTCGCCCCTCCCCAGGGTGGGCGTGGGGGTGGAGTGCCCAGGGGCCTCCAAGCCAGGGCCTTGCCCACGCCTCTCACCTCTGCCTTCATTCGTGCTACCACCCTGCCTCTCCTGCGTCCTCCTCTCCCACTTCCTCCTCTCGGTGTGCCTCAGTCTCCTGCCGGAAGAAATGGATTGAGCCCGCAAGGAGGCTGTCTGAGGAAGGGAGGGGAAGGGGCTGGGGTGGGTTCTACCCACTCCCCACCCCAAGCCATAGGGGCTCCAGCCAGGGTCTGGGAGAGGACGGAGCTGGCTCTGTGACGTCGTCGCCCCATTACTGCTGCTGCTTTCGCTTCAGCGCCTCTCCTGCCCCTCCCTCTTCCCCACTGTGGTCCACGGTGAGTAGGAGGGAGGTGCAGTCCCCAACCCCTACCCCTCAGGTCTGTGTTACTTGGTTTTTAAACGACTGGTTGGGATAGAACCCTAAAGAAATAAATCTTCCAGTGCATACTAGAGGCCAGCTGAGTTTTTGTTCTCTGGCATCCGGAGAATGCCCAGTCCTTTACAGATGGGCCAAGGAAGGACTTGGGTAAAATTCTTTCAGGAGGCAAAGGCACTGCGTGGCATATGGCATTAGCCCCAGAAGAGGTATGCACAGGTGGTGGCATTTTAGGCCAGAGACTAACTGCCAAGACAATTCATTTGAATGGGTCTCCTGCCCAGGCCAGAGGTCTTAAGGAGTGGGGGGTGGGATGTTGTTTGGGATGCTTGACAGGTTGACAGCAGCACCCCCTTCTGGTCAGTCCCCTGCCTTGTGCACAGTTGAAACCATTCTCCCCTCTCTCTAGCACCCGGGGCCCTTACGCTACTCCCACTATTAGGGTCCTCACTCATGCAGTACCAGCAGCCTGTGGCTTCCCCTTGAGCCTAAATGCTTTATTGTCACCTTTGGGTTCTAAGGTAGGTGGGGCTGTTGCATATCATGGGTGGAGAGAGGTGTCTTGACATTTCACATTCGGGGAAACTGAGGGCCATGTCACAATGTCCTCTGGCACACCAAGTCAATGGCAGAGCTGGGACCAGCCCTCAGTGCTCTCTCTGTCCTTCCTATCCACCCTCCAGCTGCCCTTCCGTGGCTGGGGTGGGGTGCAAGTGGGTCATTCATTGGCTGTCCTTGGGACCTTTCCAGATAGGTATGTTGTCTGGAAGGAAAGGCCCTCCAGCATGCTCCCATCCCCTCATAACTGCCTTCACCATAATAATGCACCCTCCTCCCCATTAGTTAGCTACTGCCCTTTCTACAATAATCAGTTATACTTCGGTGGTCAGTGCCACACCCAGGAAGGTGCTACTACACCTGTCCCTCTGGTGTCCGTTTCTGGTCATTTCCCCACAGCACAGGGTTGCTCTGAGCGCTTCCCTGTATGGGCTGAGCCCATCACTTGGTGAACTCCAGCCCTTCAGGTCCAGGCCCTGCACAACCTCCCTGCTGTGGCTCTCCCCTCCCACTGCCTCCATCCCTTCCCGAATCCCCACCCGGCCAAGTTCAGGCAGGGGCTCCCAAATTCAGGCCAGGGCTCGGTCTTCTGTTGCATCCTGCCTTCGGGGTCACATGCCCCCTGCCAGGCTGGGCGCATGGTCTTGCGTGCCTCTTATAATTATCCCTTATCTACTCAAGTCCTTGGCAGTTCCTTTCAGCCTTCCAGTCAGTGGACCAGGGCCCAGTCCCAAAGCCATAGTCTGGAGTTTCCGCACCCAGCCTCCCATGACCTCATCTTCCCCCGGCTGGAGGGCGGGGAAAGAGGCGCTGATAACAGAACAAGCAGGTTCCTCCCCCCCACCCCGCACCCCAGACTCTGGGACCGAAAGGGGGCGGGGCCGGGCAGAAAGGGCTGGCACAGCGCCCGCGCGTCCTCAGTTGGAAAGGAAGTCGATGGCTGCGCGCACCGAGCGATTAGTGCTGACATCGACCGCGGTGACCTTAATCTCGGTGTCGCCAAACTGCATGGCGGCGCGGATTTCGCGGCGGCCAGGGGGCGCGCCGGCGGTGTCCGGGCCGCCGTCGGCGGGCTCGAGCTCCAGGCTGAGCGCGCCGCACTTGCGCACGCCCGGGTCGGTGATGAAGCGCGCGTCCTCGGCGGCGCAGCAGTACAAATTGATGAGCACGCGCCGCTGGCCCGGCCGCGCCGGGCAGTAGCTGCGCCGCACCTCCTCGCCCAGGGCCACTGACTGCTCCGCGGCCACGAAGCGCTCGAAGACGTCCGTGCACCAGCGGCGGCCGTCGCGCACCAGCAGCTTCTCGGGCGGGTGGCGCCCAGCCACAAAGCGGTTGAGCACGCCTACGCCGTACGTGAGCGGCGAGCGGCGCACCCGCACCACACCCGGCGCCTGGCCGAAGAGCACCGCGCCCTTGAGGATGGTGAGGCCCACGTCGTGCGGGACCACGACACGCAGGCCGCGGGCACCCAGCGCCATCTGCACCGCGTGCTGCAGCACGGCCGACTCCGCAAAGCCGCCCACCAGGAACAGCAGCTTCACACCCTGCACCTCGGGCCGCGCCAGCAGCGCTTCTGTGGGACAGGGACGGTGGTGGAGGGGAAAGAGGAGAGGGTGCAGAGAGAGCAGCTAAGGCCACCACTACGCAGCCACTGGCGCCTCCCCTCCCCCACGCGTACCCTCCTGGCAACTAGAAACTAGCCACTTGAGCTACAAAACGATAACCCAGTTCTGATGAAAAACACTGAGTGCTTTCATTGAGGGCTCCTGGCAATACTTAGGAGCTCTGCCTCCCCAACACTCACGCTCCCCGCTTCTCTCCCACCACAACGTGGAGGGCGAGGGACACATATTAAACGCCTAGACACTGTGTGAAAGACACTGTGCTCGCTCTAGATACTTCAGCTCATTTTATCCCTGTGATAACATTTTGGGAAACTCAATACTATCACCCCATTTTATAAATGGGGAAACTGAGGCACCAGAGGTTCTTTAACTTGGCAAGACTACACATCATTGCTCCTAGCTTTTTTTTTTTTTTTTGAGACAGAGTCTCACTGTGTTGCCTGGGCTAGAGTGCTGTGGCATCATCCTAGCTCACAGCAACCTCAAACTCCTGGGCTCAGGCAATCCTTCAGCCTCCCGAGTAGCTGGGACTACAGGCATGCGCCACCATGCCCGGCTAATTTTTTCTATGTATTTTTAGTTGTCCGATTAATTTCTTTCTATTTTTAGTAGAGAGGGGGTCTCGCTCTTGCTCAGGCTGGTCTCGAACTCCTGAGCTCAAACAATCCACCCGCCTGGGCCTCCCAGAGTGCTAGGATTACAGGTGTGCCCCTAGCTCTTAATCACCACTGCACGTCATCCTCCAGGTGTTCCACATGATTCTGTGTCTCATCCCAGTGTACAGATGTGTGGAGGTTTCCAGGCACAGATGGAGGAATTATCATCTCATCTGGGTGTGTATGTGGGAGTGAATGGAGGACCCAGCCCAGGTGCTCACCTATGTGTTGGATGATCCCGCTGACGGTGGGCTGAAAGAGCTCGTTCATGGCCTCACATGACATCCGGAGCATCCCCTGTGAGGACCACTTCACGAAATTCACACTGTAGGTGGTAAAGTGGGCACAGGCCCATGGTCAGGGCCCAGCTGCTTGCACTAGCTTGGGGTCCGTCATCCTCATTCCCTACCCCTGCTTCCAGGCAGAAGTGCCTGGGCACTGACTGCACGCGGTGTGTGTAGAGATTGGGCCGGGTGCACGTTAGCCCTTAGCCCCACCATGCTCTCCCAGGGGTTTTAGCCACCAGCCTGCTCCAGATTCAATCTGAGATACCGGGAGAGGAGCCGCCCCTTGCTTCTGTGCAGAAAAGCCAAGGAGCACTGGCTGGCAGGCGGGTGGCGGCAGCCGGTGGTGGGGGGGGGGGGTTAGGAGGGAGGAGAAAGGCAGGAAGGAGATGACGTTGCCCCGCCTCCCCCCACCAATGCGTCTCCCTTTTGCTCCTGTTCATCTGGGCTGTGGATTTGGGGGCGAAGCCTGCCGGGCTTGGGTACTGGTGCCCCTCCCCCTGCTCCTGGGCTGGCTTTATGGGTGTGTGGGATGAATCAGGCAGACCTCCAACCCCACCCCCGAGGCCCAAGACCCTCCCTTGCAGGGGCATTCCCGTCAGCAAACCCTGCCTGCGCCCTGCGGGCCCCGGACCGGCCCCGGACCCACCTGCTCCGGCGCAGGGCGGTCTCCACGTTGTGGCCTCGCTGCTTGCGGTAGAATTCGATGAAGGAGAAGGGCAGCGAGATGTTGAGCGCCCCTGCACGGTGCGGGCCGGCCGTGCGTTTGCGAGCCTCGAAGGCGATAGTCAGATCCACCCAGGCTGCCGGCCGTTGTCTTTTGAAGGTGGCAATGAAGTCCTCGCCAAAGATGCGGCACAGAAGTTGCTCGAAGGCCAGGTCCACGCCCACCGCGCCGTAAGGGCCGCCTGAGTGGGGCGGGGGTGTCAGCGCCCACCCGACCGCCAGGGGGCATTGGCGGGGACCCGGGCGCGCTGGGTACCAGGGGCGCTACTTGGCCACTCACCAGACGCCTTGTAGAGCTCCTTGAGGGTGCCGTGGGGCTGCTCCAGCTGGTGCACGGTCAGGTCCACGGTACCTCCGCCGCAGTCTGCCACCATGTAGCGGTCTCCTGCGACGGCGAGGGCGGGTACACACTCGTGCTCTGCCTCCACCCTCAGCCTCGGCCCCCTCCAGCCTCTCCCAGCCTCAACCCTGCCCTAGGCCCCCAGCCCTGCCTGCGGGGGCTGGGGGAGGGACGTAAGGGGCTTCAGGTGCTTGAACCTCAGGCCACCAGATAGGGCGAGAGTGTGGGGGAGAAACTGTTCCAAGGCTCTGCAACTCCACCTGAGCGTCAGCGGAGAATGCCCTGGAGGAGTGGGAGTTAGGGGTGCGGCTGTGAGTGGGGTGGGGATGCAGGTGTCTGTGAGGGGACTGCCAGGTTAGGTCCGGCGGATGGAGGAGGAAGAGGCAAGGTTTCGCAAATGTGCCCTTCCTCCCATCAGTATAAGGTGCCCCACAGGGGCCAAGAATATCTCCACCCCACTCTCCACCTACCTGCTTGCATCTCTGCCCACAACTCTCCTACACCTGACTCCACCAGGAACGTGCGGCTGTGGCGGGACCTTCGCAGCTGCTCGCGGGCTGGGGGTCAGGGGTCAGCAGGAAGTGAGATTAGAAAGAGGTGCTCCAGCTACCACGTGCAGCTCCCATCCTCCTGCCAAGGCCCTCCATGAGCACCCGGAGCAGCCAGTGCTCCTGAAACGCCAACCCACCCCTGACTGGGTGAGGTTAATGCTGAACCCGAAACCTTGGCACTGTATCCAACAGCTGGGGGAAGAATTTCTGGACACAGGACTTTCCCTTAATGCAGAAGAGTTCAGGCCATGGCAAAATCAGAGTTGGGAGGGATTGGAGGAGCTGGGGGGTTAGGTCTTGGAAGGTGTCAGGGGGAGCTCAGGACTTAGGGCTTCTTGTAATGGGAGATGGCATTTAGGGGGATGACCAAGATTGACCATTGCTGTCCTTGGCCATGGTGCCGGGTCCTGGCAGCAGGAGCTTTCAGCTGTAGTGGGAGGCTTGGGGCAGGGAGCAGTAGCTGATGTGCAGGGATGGGAGGGAGGGGCAGCTGATGCAGTGGCTGTTTAAGGGAAAGCTCCTGAAGACCTCCCCCTTCAGCTCGCAGTGGGGGCTGACTTCCCCCTTTGTCAGTACCCAAGCATCTACCCTGGGATGGGCTGTCTCCCCCAACTCGCAGACTCAGGGCTGGGCTGAGTCCTGCCCTCCTCAGACTCTGCTCCCCTAGGGCAAGGTGACGTTTCCACCCTCAGATTGGGCTCCCCCAGGTCAGAGCAGTGGCCAGTCCTCTGACTAGCTTCCCCCTGAGCAGGGCAGCGCCTCCCTCTCTCAGACTGAACTCCACAGGGATGTCTCTACCAGCTCAGATCGGGCTCCTCCACACTGGGGCTCCCTCCCCTTCATCCTGGACATGGCTGAGCCTCTGGCCTCAGCGACCCTCTGACCCTCCAAGGGTGGGCAATGCCCCTGTGGGCAGCTCACCCTGCCGGAAGCTGGAGTCGATGGAGCGGCGCTCGCCCAGGCGCCCACCACCTGGGGCCCGGCTGCTGAGATCCATGAGCTGGTGCAGACGCAGCTTTCGGCAGTACACAGAGGCAGCCTCAGGCTCCAGAGCAATGAGCAGTTGTTCTGCATTCTCTCGAGACACCAGTCCAGCCTAGGCATAGGTGGTAGGCAAGACCAGGCAGCACCATGGGTTGTCACACCCAAGATGGCGCCCCAGAGAGGGTAACTGGAGCCTTTGGGGCTCCCACCTCCTCCGCCATCACATCCCACCTATACTAGGCCTTTCAGGTCCGTCCATGCTGCATACATTTGGAGCTGCCTCACAGCCACCCTGTGATCAGGCTGGGGAGGGACATGGCTATGGCCAAGGGTGCCAAGAGGTTGCCCAGCAGAAAGAGACCAGACAGAGTGCAAACCTAGAGTGCTTGGGATCTGCCCATTCAAGCTTTCCAAGATGTCGGGGCTGCAGCAAGGTCTCCCTTCACAGGTGCAGGCCTGGCCAGCTATGTGCTGGCTGGAGATGTTAGCAGGCACTCTAACACAGTGGGGGGGGGCGGTGTAGTGGCTCAGAGGAGATGATGGGGAGCCCCATTTAGCTCATTGAACCCTCTTTCTCCACCAGGCTGGTGGTCACAGAGTTATAGACCACCTTACTCCCAGGAGAAATTTGTTCCCAAGGAATCTGATATAGCAGGAAGGAAGCAGTGAAATTCCAAGATAGGCCAGTTGGGGGGAAACAAACTCTGAGATCGGTTATTTCCAGCATCAGGGCAAGAGGTCCCTATAGGATGTACTTTATGGTTTTGTGGGTTCCCCAATTCTGACCAGATAGGGGAGGGGTATATGGGTGGGAGTGGAGAGTTCCTGCCCAGGGCCAGCCCTTCCTGAGCTGGCAGCCAGGGAACAGTGTGCGAGGAAGCAGTGTGGGTAAACGGGCAGGGGGCACTGGGGTGGAGGTCTTTGTTCTAGCTGGAGACAGCCTTGCTATCATCCCAGTCGCAGCAGGAAGATGCCCACTGTGCTCAGGGTTAGCTTCTTCCAGTTACAAGTATAAGCACCTACAGACCTGGCCTCTGGGTCATGCTTGACCCACAGCTGTGGGGGGTTGGGGATCCTGGTATCGTCCAGAAAGGTCCACAGGCAGGTTTGAGATCTCTTTTGGACATCCTAGGGTCTGTCCCCCAAGGCCCCAGGGTTAGGAACAAGCAACAGGTCTTGTGCTGGGAAGCTATGCCCTCTCTCTGTCTCCGCTGAAGAGGGTAGTGCCTGGGCCCCCCCACACCCCTTTCTGCAGACCTTTGAGCATCTCTCTGGTAGGAAAACCTGCACACATTGGCCAGAATCACCTCCCTTCATAGTTTCATAATCCTGTTTCCCCTGCTCAAAACCCTACAAAGAGGGCCAGGCGCAGTGGCTCATGCCTGTAATCCCAGCACTCTGGGTGGCCAAGGCAGGAAGATCGCTTGAGTTCAGGACAAGACCAGCCTGAGCAAGAGGGGAAACCCCCGTCTCTACTAAAAATAGAAAAAATTAGTCCGGGCATGGTGGCTCACGCCTGTAATCCTAGCACTTTGGGAGGCTGAGGCGGGAGGATCGTTTGAGCTCAGGAATTGGAGACCAGCCTGAGCAAGAGTGAGAGACCCTGTCTCTACTAAAAAAATAGAAAGAAATTAGCTGGACA